CGCCTGTGCGGGCATGGTTTTCTTCACTTACCTGCATCTTAAGATACAAGCCCACAGCATCTGTTCTTGAAGAGAAAGGAGTTTTCTGAGCTTTCTCACCCCCTTCACTCTCCCCAGAGGCATCCCATTTAGCATGCCATCCTAAGGATGCTTTCCTGGGAATAAGCCCCAATGACTAGATCTGCTTAGGATGGCACTGTTAGATATTCTACAAAGGACCCGCTGAAAACATTGTCATGTTGCCCTTATTCAGCCTCATCTAGAGATTCCAACCACATGGCCCCAGCCACAGAAAGGCCTCCCCAGGGCTGGCCTCTGCCTCTCGGGACTCTGGCACTGCCGCCCACCCCAACTCTGGCAACAACAGAACCTACCGGGGGCAAGAGCCGACCTGACGTGCCGTCACCACTCGCCACATCTCCTGGGACCCATCGAGATGGCTCCGCGGTGCTCGGGCAGCGCTTCCACCAAGGAGGGGCCAGCACACGAGGGGGGTGACCCGGGAGAAGGGGAGACGATTGGCCCGGCGCGAGGGCCCGACAACAGCACAGAGCAGTATGGAGGGAGAGAGGCATGGGACAGGCAGGGGCGCTAGGACCGGAAGATTAGCCACACCCCAGCCCAGCATCCTGGTACAAGAGGAGGGGGTGGGGCCATCCCTGGGGTGGGGGGCAGACTACAGAAAGGAGCAGGTGACACGGGGGTGGGGATAAAAGGAGGAACGAACACGGAGGCTGGGGAGGAGAAACACAATGCTGACAGCACAGAAGGGAGAAGCGAGAGATAGAGGTGTCAGAGTGTGCCGAGGGAGTGTGGAGGATGGTGACGTAACCTCCTCACCTCCCGAACAACTGAGGCCTCCATGGTTCCCCTTTTCTACTCCTCAGGAAGCAGGTCGCGGTGGCGTATAGGGTGGAGCAGCAGGGGGCCAGCGACAGCGACGAGGGGTTGTTGAGCTCATGTGACAGTCAAATCAAAACAAAAAGGCCTGCATTTTGCCATCAAGTCCAAATATTTCCCACCACGGGAAGGCAGAAGGAGGAAACAATACTGTCTGTCTAACAAAGTTTGAGTTCAGTAGCACTTAGACTCCTCTGAAACAACACTCACCTTGATAGGCTGAGAAAGACAAATAAAGAGGGACGGGGGGGCAGAGAGAGGGGGGAACAGAGGGAATCTCCCTCCTTCCCTCCCTCCCTGCCAGAGAGAATCCCCTGAAGCCCCCAGCAGCTCTCAGCCACCCCTGCACTCCCCGTCACCCTCCGCTCTGCCCAGGCACTCCCAGCCTCTCTCCCACCCTGAACACAGTCCCTGCCACCCCGCTTGGCACCCTCCCACCCCTAAACACAGTCCCTGCTACCCTGCTCGGCACCCTCCCCCCCAACATGTGTTTCTCTCCTAACACAGCTGTCGGTCCAACATGGAGAGATGTCAGCCCAACCATTGAGCTGCAAGCCTTCCATCTGCTGGTATCTGGCTCCCTCCATTAAAGTTCCCTCAGTTTGTCCTTCTCAAGTGTCTCTGTTGTGGGCTATGGTTGGAGGGTGGGCAGACAAGCATGAAGGCGGCTGCATGAGCCACATCGCCCTTCCCCACAAAGTAGGGGCATGGGCATAATCCTGACAACACTGCTGACACAGGACCATTCCCTGATGGGGGGAGGGAAAGACAATGGGTCATCCCCCACTTCTCCAGTCAACAATACACACTGTCCATGCAGCAACTGCAAGAGGTCTAAGTTCCCCTTTGGAAAGAAGGGCAGTCAGGGGCCAAAGGGAGGCATAATGATGCAGTAGGAATTCTCAATGAGAATGGCATGGTTGATGACATGGGGATCGACCCTGGGTGATGTCCTAGACTCTCAGTGGCTCTGTGATGGCCAGAAGATGTGGTACGGGCCGTCTCAATAACAGCAATGGTTCAAGGACTGCTGCCACTTGTCTGGTGGCATTTTGCAAGCCAGAATGGAGCTGGTCAATGTCAGAGGGATGTTCCCTACGGAGGCCTGCATGGGCTGTCTGGATCGCATTAACCATGGGAAATACTGGGGTATGCAAATTATGGAATGGAATGAGACAAAGCAGTGTGGAAAGGAAGCTGTCAGGGGCTGGTTGCACAACTGATTGGCGCAGTGGTCATTCTGAGCACTAGACTTCTCATTGGCCTTCCAGGAAATCAGTCACTATGATGGAAAACACTGTTGCCAGGTCCCAGCCATTTCCAATCATCTCGGGGCCCAGTGCCTGCAAAGCTAGGAGGAAGCACCCTGCATGAGGTGGGAGCAGAAGGCTTGCACTGTGAAGGGATCAGCATTCTGTATGGATCTGCAGTTCCCTTCATTCCATATATAGAAGTCGCCAACAGCCATGGGAGTTCCTAGCTCTGCTGTCACTGCTTTCCCTTTTCAGAGGATCCCCATATGGTTAAAGATCAGAAGGCAGAACCTCATGGCATGGATGCTCCTCCCATATGGCCACCCATGCTTCAATGGTGAGCCCTTCTGCACACATTAATGTGTGTCTCAAAATGGCCACAGGTGCACACTGTAATAGCCAGTGAGGATGGGTTGGCTGACATTGCCCCCGTTAGTAGCCATGCGCACAGTGCCAGGGTGCATTGTTTGTGGGGGACGCTCTGGCTCTCATTGCCATGAATGCACTGGAGGAAGCCTTAGCAATTCCCTTTGGTCAGGCCGCTGCAGAGGTTTGCTCCAGATGATGTCGGGAGCTTCCAAGCTGAAATGTTTACTTTTAGGGGGGGTCTGTTCCTATGGAGGCTGGAAGGGGCCCCCTGGCTCCCAGGTGCCTCAGGGTGATTTGAGTATGCAAATGCAGAGTCAGAAAAAAAGAGAAGCAAACACTGTACCATGCGAACCATCTGGCAAACCGATCGTGGCCGTTTTGTGCATCAGGCTACTGGCATGCGCACACAATGTGGATGGCCTCTGGTATTTGAAAATAGCACATTCATTAAGATTCATTTTAGGCTAGAATGAATTGCCTATACTCTGTGGTATCCAGGTGTTTTGCAATGTACCCCAACAGCATCTGCATTTGTCCTGTTTTTTCTGTTTTTTTCTGATTTGTTTTGTTTTTCTGAATTTGATGCTAATGTAAATTCTTCTTTTATATTTGTATTGCCTTGTTAAACTTTTTACAACAAACAGGACCACGGTATGTAATAGCCAGTGAAACAGTAAATCACCGTGTACAATTAAACAATATTTGTTGGTTTTTATTTGCAGTGTTGAGAATTCAATTATTACCAATAACACTACAATATGTGATATAAAGCTTAGCTCTCAGTCAGAACACAGAGCTTATTTGCATATGCAGCCTCATCGGCCTCTGCCTCGGAACACAGAGGTCGTTTGCATATGCGACTTGATTGGCTTTTGCCTCTAACATTCTAAACAGTTTTGCTGTTCTGAGGTAAAATGTGTCCAATCTCCAGGTGAGGGCTGGAGATTACTCAGAATTACAACTGCTTTCCAGATGGCAGAGATCAGTTCCCCTGGAGAAAATGGTGGGCTCTGCATCCTTATATGCTGCTGAGGTGGCCCCCGTATAACAGCCAATGTGACATAGCAGTCAAGGCTTCAGAGCAAGGGAGAGGCTGCAGGTGTGTGTGTGGGGGGTGGAAAGCTGAAGAGTGAGGGGGAAATGAAGGTCAAGGGAGAGGCTGCAGGTGTGTGTGGGGTGTGTGGAAAGCTGAAGAGTGAGGGGGAAATAAAGGTAGGTTGATGATTGGCTGGGAAGAAGATAGGGTTGCTACTCCATGTGGGAAATTCCTGGAGATGTGAGGGATGGAGCCTGGAGAGGGTGAGGTTTCAGGAGGCGTGGGACCTCGGATAGGTACAAAGCCATAGACTCCACCCTCCAAACCAACTATTCCCTTCTGGGGAACCATCATTGCCAATCTCCAGGTGAGGGCTGGAGCTCACTCAAAATTACAACTGTTCTTTAGGTAGCAGAGATCAGTTCCTCTGGACAAAATGGTGGACTCAGTGTCATTATACCCTGCTGAGGTCGCCACAGCAAATTGACACTGAGTGTCCAAAGCCGGGGCACCCGCCCAGAGCCTCTTTCTAGAGGCCTTTGTATTTATTTCAACGGGCCTTTTTCCTAGTCAGAAATAACAGAGTTTTGCACAAAAGTCCTTTTAACTGGAAGTCCTGTCCAGGGTTCCCTTTTGTGTTCCCAATTCCCCAGTTAGATTGCCTGCCCATTTTCATATTTTTCTCTATATCCTGAAAACTAAAAATGTGTTTTTCAGTTGTCTGATGAAGCTTTATCATTATGGTATGTTTATAATTATGCCATTATGCCTGTACTGAACAAATGCAAATGTGTGAAATAAGAACTTTTTCTACAAACAGCATTTAATGTCCTTTTAAAGAAATCTGACCAGCATAGGAGTGAAATTATTAGGAAACAGAAGAAGCAGAAAGAATTTTGAAGAGAGGTCTACTTATAAAACCTACTTATGAAACACCTACTTATGAAACAAAACCTGAGAAAAGGAAGTTGATATTTTTCCTTCTGAGTCTCAGAGTCTAATCCATGCTACTTCCTCCCTGGCTTTTTTGGCCTCTGTTCTCTGGGTCTAAAAGTGAGGTGTGGTGATGCTCCCTCTAAGCTGTGGAGTCTGTGAGCAAAAATTCTATGTTGTGAGCTACTGGCATGAAAGTTGTGAGTGAGTGATTTGGCTACTGCATAAATTGGTTTGCTCTGGAGCCTTCCTTCCTGAGTTAAGACAAAAATGTGTGAGCCAGAGGCTAAAAAACTGTGAGCTAGCTCACACTAACTCAGCTTAGAGGGAACACAGGTGGTGATGATGATGATGATGGGGCTTTTAGCTGCCCTTTTTTTCTATTTTCTGGGGTGGCTTAAGGCCTTAAGGGTGGCATAGCTCTGCAGACAAACTTTGTTACAAGATATGACCAAAATCCAATGTGAAATTACTCTTAAGTGTTTCTGTCTTCCCCTCTTATTTCACAGGGAGGAAGAAAAATCCAGGGTTGAAAATTCCTAAAGAAGCATTTGAACAGCCACAGACAAGCTCTACGTATGTCTTGAGATGACATTGTGGTAGGGTTGAGGGGCGGGGAAAATAATTGAAGCAATTGTACAAATAGAAGAAAGTTTCATGGAAATGATTTGTCCTATTATGTAGCTCAGTCACTCATTTGGTCCACACATTCATGGAAGATATAGTGCAGAGAAACCATGAATTATTTCTGGTCTTCCTGGTGTTTAAAATGGAGTAGTGATTTAATCAGCGATGATAATCATGCAACCCCTTTAAATTAGCTAATCTACGCTAAGCCATGATTTGGATAGTGCATCTATTTTTGCATGGAGGGAAAAGGGGGGGTTACTCTTTTTTGTTATATTTTCATCTTCACTTTCTTCTAAAGAGCTCATGGTATTGTACGTGAGTTTCCCCAAATCTATTTTATCATCACAGTAACTTTATATTAGACCAAGGGAGAGCATGACAGGCCCTGGGTCAACCAGTGTGCTTCATGGCACAGTGGGGATTTGAACTCAGGTCTTTTCATTCCAAGTCTAACTACTCTGACTACTACACCACACTAGCTTGCAGCTTTCACACCATTGGCTGTAAAGTATTTAAAGAATGCACAGAGTCAGAATTAAGTGATGTTGCAGATGTATTTTGTGATCATTTCAAGCTTGTGATGATGATTAATGATATGACATGGCTTTCATTTCCCATGGACTGTTTAATGTGCAAATAAGGGTAGTGATGTGCCTGCTCTCCAACAGTGACTGTAGTCCATAGAATTAACTCTACAATAGTTTCAGGGATTTTGACTAATTTCTTTAAAATGGTTGATTTGGGATATTTCAAAAGTAGTTCCTGATGATGCTCAGGGATGCTGGCACTTTTTTAGCATGAAAGTGATCAGAACCCCTGGTTTGGAAATACTGAAAGCAGTTTCATGAAGTATCTCACTAGGGATGGACACAAACCAGGAAAATGCAGTTAGGTTCATAGTAGAACATCCACACAATGTGCTGGAGGCACCAGACTTGCAGGGGATCTCTGATTCTCCTAACCCTTCTTTCCAAGTGTGGTGATTGGATTTACAAAGTCCAAGTTCCCCCCCCCCCCCCCAAAAAAAAAAGGTGCCCTCAGGAAAATGCTTTCTGGGGAAATGACAAATGCAGGTTCAGGAGTGTCTAGAACAGATAGTGTGGAAGCTAGAGACATCAAAGTCTCAGGGGACCTCCCTGGATGCTCCTCTACTTGCCTGACAAGTTCCACCCTGCCATTGCTTTGAAGTTTGGTAAATATTTAGATTGAGCAGAGACAGTGTATTTGGAGATGTATCCATTCACAAACCAACGCCAACAGCTTGAAAGTTTATGGAAAGTTCATCTGAATGACCTGCCACGAACTTCACTTCTCAAACCAAGAACTGGCCAAAATTTGTCAAGAACATTAGTTTGTGAGCTGGTTTGTGCCCATCCCTATACCTCACTAAAGTAGTAATCTTCAGTTTGGTATACTCAGAGGCACTCTGATGGCATATTGTGTTCATCTTCCATCTTCTGATGCAGCCCCATGTTGGGAATGTGCTTGCGCAGGCCAGCTGTGGATATAACTTTTGTAGGTCTATAAAAAACTCTGAAAGGGGGTGCACCGACCTTTGGAGCCAGCGTCTGCATGAGTTTTCCCACCACACATGTCATGTGCTCCGAGCTGGGCGCCCCATCCTCTCAGTTCCATTGTTACCCCTGCAAGGATAGGATGTCTTTCATGTAGCTCCACTTATTTACTCTGTCATTGCAAAGAAATCACTTTTCTTCCCTTCATGTTAAACTTCTCCAGAGACTTTCACTTCATACAGGTTAGATTCCTATTGGGAATACTACCCTTTGTTTTCTGCGTTTGTGGTTCCTACCGTGAAGACCAAGGCACTCTTCAAAAAGTGCGCGAAATGCACTACGAAAATACTGCATAGTGATTTATTTATTTATTTATTTGATTTTATCCCGCCCTCCCGCCGAAGGGGGACCATGAGCTATGCCTCTTTTGCCTGGGTGAATCCCATAATGTGGCAACCTGCCAAATTTGCCGATGTGTCACACCGATGGTTCTTTCTGATAGAGCCTTCCACTTAAAAGCAGCACTTGGGGAGAAAGTGCTCTCTGCCTCAGTTCTAGCCAAGTTTGTTTGTGCATCAGGACCATTGGCTTCTGTTTCGACGCCACCAGCTCTGACTGAGCATCATGGTTCCAGGCCCCCCTCAATGCGCTCAGTACCTACTGAGTCAACCTTGATGGTGAAACCAGCTCCCCCCCAAGAGGGCCACCTCTGTTGCCCCGGACGTGGAATCCAGATGTACATCATTGACCATTATGGGGCACACCTCCAAGATGTGTTCTACTTTGGAACCACCAACAAAAAAGCATTTAAAAATCTAAGCATGGGGAACATCCAGATTCAGACTCCAAACAAAAAATGCGCGCCAGTTAGCCAGACGGCAACTTTTAACTCAGTGTTGAGCTTACCTTCTAATAGTAATAATAAAATAATAATAATAATAATATCACCAAATACAAGGAGTTGGACTCCAACCTGAGTACCACGGGTCCACTGCAGACTCCATCACCCCATCTTTTGTTTTGTCAGGTTCCTTCTTGGAGCCTGAGGATGAAGAGCTGCAGAGCATTCCGCCATCCCAAATAATCCCTTCTGACATGGCCCTGCCTCTGGCATGGAGACTGGCTGACCCTTCAGCTCCTTCATACTATTTGTCACCATCATATCTACAAAGATGGGAGGTAGACCCATCACCCAGTGATTTACGAGGGGCAAAATCTGGAACCAGGAAGCTACTCTGATAATCACCATACGGTTCCATTCCATCCTGCTTATCAAGAATCTATGGGCCTCCATAGTCTCGCAGGGTAGCTTGGATGATGCATCAGAACCTTCACCTGATTAGTCTGTAGTGGACCCTGCACCCATATCCCCGAGTGAAGATGTAAGGCTCTATTATTATTATTATTATTACATTCGGTTTATATACCGCTCTGACCCGAAGGTCTCAGAGTGGTTTACATATGATCTGTGAAGGTCGCTGGCAAAATCTCTGCTTCGATTAAATCGTTTATCATGGGTGCCGTAACCCATGCCATGTCTAATCTTGACCAGGATTTATGTCTTGTTGAGAAGAATGTAAAGTCTCTTTTATTAAAGTATCTCACCCCCCCCCAAGCATCTCTAAGGTTTAGCTCTTCAGCCATTTTTAAAAATGCTTTTGGCAATTCACTTCCTTGGTTCTTTTCCCCTGACTGTTTCTCCATTTTTAAAAATGCTTTTGGCAATTCACGTCCTTGGTTCTTTTTCTCCGACTGCTTCTTTCTGTCTATTGCCCTATCATAGACCGCATTATGATATTCCGTAGTGTTTTTTTAAAAAAATCTTGGTCTTGATTTGGGGCATATATGTTTGCAATTAGCATAGTTTTAGATTGTCTCTGGATTTGCACTAGTAGTATTCTTTCATCTTCTGAATCATAAATCAATTCTGGATGTAGATGGTTTTGGACATAGGTTACTACTCCTTTTTCCTTTTTTTTCCTTTATTTGTAGAGGTAAAAGCCTTGCCCAACTTTTTATTTCCAACAATTTCTTATCCGAGTATTTAATATGAGTCTCCTGAAAACAAATTATATCGACATTCATTTTCTTTATTTGTTGGAAAATTTGATTTCTTTTGTTTGGTCCATTCAGTCCATTTACATTAATCAGTTATTTTTAATTTATTACTCTGCATCTTCGTTATTCTTTTGTTGCTCATTTCTACTTCTTTGTTGAAATCTAGTGGTTACTTGGGAGGGTTTTGGTTTTCCTTTTTGTTTGTTTTCTTTTTACTCTTCTTTGTGGCTGTCCCCCCTTGAATTTCTCCTTCTTCTTCAGTTTCACTGGATTCTTCTCCCTCTTTTTAAGTCCTCTTTGTGGCTTTTAATAAAGTCTTCCATTTTGAGAGTTGAGCCAATTTTATATCTGTTTCCTTCATACAAAAAAAATATTCCCTCTGGCATCAACCATCTGTTAGATATGTCATTTTTCCTTAACAGTTCCACCAAGTTTGTATATTTTTGTCTCTTTTCTCTCACTTGCCAGGGTACTTCTTTCAGTATTCTCACTTCTGTTTCTTGTATTAGTAGAGGTTTTTCATTTGGTGTTCTTAAAAATTCCTCTTAGTTGTTTCTTGTGGAATCTGACATAAATTTCTCTTGGCAGCTTATTTTTTCTTGCATAGGTGGTGTTCATTGTACAGACTGTGTCAATGTCTTGAGAGAGTTCTTTTATGTCTTCCAATTCTATGTCTTCCGCTAGCATTTGTGGTATTTCTAATTTAAGGTCTTCTTCTTTATTTTCCGGTATATTTCAAAACCTTAAAAGATGCGCTGCTTTGTCCATCTTCATTCTTATCAAGGAGTCTTTTATCACCTCATTCTTTGTGGATAGTACTTTTATTTGTTGTTCCAGCTCCTCGGATTTATTTTCTAATTTTTTCATGTTGTTCAACATGTCTGAAATTTCTTGTTTATTTTCCAAAGTTTGCTTTCTGATCTGTTCTGTTTGCAACATAATTTGTTGGGTAAAGTGATCAATCTTGGTATAAATTGGCTCTATTACTTTTTCGATTGCTGCCGGCAGAGCTGTTTCAACTGCTAGGTTTACTGCTGAAGACACTATCTCTTGAATCAAATTCTGTAAGTCTTTTAAGTTAACCTGCACCAAATTTGCTTGACTTGGTGAGGCCTGTGGTGAAATGGGGACTCACCCTCAGCCCTCGGAGACTGAGGTGCTGTCCTGTGGCTCGCAAGCCTCTGTTTTGGCCTCCCACCCTACCTGGTGGGGCTATTTCTCTCCATTAAACGCTGCCATCACTCACTGAATTGACACCGCCTCCCTAGAGGGACAGTGAGATCCCTCTGGCTGATTTCCCCACCTTGGGAAGTGGGTACCTCGATCTTTGGGTGCCTCCTGGAGTATTGGCAACCTCTCCGATTTGGGTTCGTT